CTCCGGACGAGGAGTGGCCCTGTGCGGAGAATGATTGGGTGGTGGACGGGATCAGCTACAAGCCGGCGTGGGCTAGGGGGCGGTCGGCATCCAGAGGAGAAAGAAGGGCGCCTGGGCTGCCGCCGTGGACAAGGTCGAGATCGGCATCGAAGGAGGCAGGAGCGGGTTGCAGGAAGGAGGAGAGCCCTGGAGGAGGGGCGGGAATCAAGGAAGGTGCCGACAAGACGAAGGATAGGGTGGAGGTGAAGGAGCTGCTGAACGAGAGCGGCCGGGTCACAGTGTTGCCGCAGCTGGTGGATGATGGAAGTCCGCTGACGTTTGGCGACTGGATGGCGACTATCGAGCACAACATGGAGGACATCTCCACCTACAGCGCTATGTGGTGGGAGGACGTGTGCGACAGCGCCAAGGTGGCCTACGCGGAGTGGTTGGTGGCCAGTCCGCTGGAAAGATTGCGGATCACGGCCGCGCACGGAGCAGAGGGGGGTGGCCATAGTCTTGAAGGCACTCCAGCAGCTACAGGATGTCTACGGTGAGGGCGGAGCTGAATCTTGATACCAGGCCGCAGGAAGGAGTGGAGAGCTTCGCGGAGTGCCTCCAGGCGGAATCGGCCCGTCGAGGCAGCAGGGCGGTGAGTCACGGGCTGCACGGACGCTGTCAAGTCCTGATGAGCCGCAGGCCAACGGCAGAGCAGAGGCGGCAGTCGGGCGGGTGAAGAGGAAGGCAAGGGCACTGTTGCTGGAGGTCAATCCAAACCTCTGGCATGGAGCTGCGTTGCCGGTAGAAGTTCGCAACAGGATGATTATGCGGGAGATGGGAGGTCAGGGTGATGGAGAAGGGCAGCATCTACACGGTGTCGCAAGTGGTGCCGGAGCTGTGGACCAGAAGGTGGACGTCCCGGTGGCCGGGGAGCTGTGGACCAGAAGGAGAAGATTGGTAGGAAAGCAGAAGGAGGAGAATGGAGGAGAAGATGAGGAGAAAGGAGGAGAAGAGGAGGTGCCAAAGGTGAAGAAGATAGAGGGATAGAAATATATTTCTGGGGAGAGGAATGGATTGAGAAGTTGGAGAGGAGGCAGGTGATCTGGGCACAGGAGAAGGATCGGTGCCTGGAGCTGGTCATGGAGGATATCGAGACGGGAGGCACAGGGGATTGGACACCCATGACTTCCTAGATGGTGGAGGTCACCAGAGGAGAACGCATGAGGATAGAACTCAAGGCGTTGGGACAGTGGCTGAGGAGGAGATGTTCCTGCAGACAAAGATCATCAGGTGAGGAGGGAAATGGAGATGTGGGTGCCGACGATGAAGAAGGAAGTTGGAGCCCTCCTGGAAAAGATGGCCATCCGGGAGGTGAGAGAAGAGGAAGTAGATAGGTGGGAAAGGGAAGGAGAGCTGAAAGCAGGTGACGGGAGGCGTACACGTCCGGAGTGGAAGCGGGGCGCTGTTGCGGAAGGCGGCGGCAATGAAATGGGCCGTGGGAAGCTTGGACATCCGCACGGCGGGTGGTGGTGAGACCGCCGAAGATCCTCCTGGACGCAAAGGTGGTGAACCCGGGAGTCATGTGGTCATGTGGGAGGTGACCAAGGCCTTGTGTGGGTTGCGGGCATCGCCGGCGGACTGAGGGGCCAATCAAGACGACACCCTCAGGTGGACCTCGGAGGCGGGAAGGAGTTGGTGTTGCGCCAGGCGTTTGCGGACGAGAACCTCTGGAAGATAAGGCTCGGGGGCGCCACGGTGGGGTTTATCTGCTGCTACGTGGATGACATGATGATCGTGGGGGATCAAGAAGAGTGGGAGGCGACGGACCTGGAGTGGGTCAACGCGGACAAGCCGGTGAAGTTCTGCGGGGTGGAGGTGATGAGAGACCCCAGCGGAGGAGCAAGTCTGTTGGTGGGGCGACCACATCAAGGACGTCCTCAACAGGTACGAGGGGGAGGTGAAGGAGAAGACCATCCTGGTGCCTGAGGAGATCGAGAAGGATGGGGAAGACGAGGAGCAGGATGCGGAGATGGTTCGGCTGGCGCAGACATTCGGACAAGGCCTGACATCTGCTATGGGGTGAACCGCATCAGTCAGCTGATACCGCGTCAGCCGAAGCGAGCCTTCGAGATGGGGGTCTACCTGCTGGGCTACCTCAAAAGGACGGTGGGGTGGAAGCTGGAGTTCGGGGGCGCCGCGAAGGGGCATGGAGAAAACGGGGAGTTCCTGCATGAGCGGGGTGGAGGTCTACGCGGACGCAGGCTTTGGGCCGCATGGCGGCCGGTCCCAGCAGGGCGTGGTCGTGAGCTACGGTGGGTGTCCGATCCACCGGACGAGGAGGCAGCCGTTTGTGGCAAGGTCGACGGCAGAGGCAGAGCTGCTGGCGGCAATGGTGGGAGAGGCGTGGGCGGAGATCATCGCCGATCTGGAGGACAGGAAAGTCGCGTCGGTGTGGGATAAGGCTGGGATCGATGTGGAAGGTCGAGACCAGCTCGAAGCACTGAAGTTGGTGATGCAGGACAATGCGGCGGCGGTGACGCTGTTGCAGGATCCCGGCGGGTCATGGCGGACAAGGCCACTCAGGATCAGGAAGGCGCCAGTGGGGACCGAGGACCGCTGGATTGAGAAGGAGGAGTGTTGCATCAAGGTGCATTGCCGGAGGAGGGTCTCGGAGTTTGACCCGCGGAAAGGAAGGACGGCCCGGAGCGCATCACAGTCATGAGGACCAGGCCTGTCTTCGTGGTTGGTGGAGACTATCGCCTGAGGGAATGGACAGACTACAGCGTCTTCAAAAAAGAAGGAGACGCGGAATGAGGGGGTCTTGAGCTGGGAGGAGCGCTGAGCGCGAATCCGATTCGGCAGATTGCCGAAGGGGGGTGCATGAGCCCCGCTTTTGCATGAGGGATGCGAATACTGCAGACCCTTTTATTGCCCAAAGGAAACAGGGCGCCGAGCTCTAACAAAAGCAAAGAAGTCACTCAGCATGTTTGGTGATGTCGGGTTGGGGGTGGTGGGAGGCCAAATCTAATTCGTTCAGATACTTGAGATGGCAAGTTATTGTGTTCACGTCAGAAGTGTTCCAGGAGAAGGCAATTGATTGGGACTAACCTCGAAGCCAAGGGCTCCTGCTTACCTCTTGCAGGTGTTTCGCTACCTCACACAACCACCAGCACACACAGGCAGGAACAGGTCAAGAGAACAAACAAAGCAAGACCCACGCCAATGCTGCCACCTGGAGCCAACACCCAGAGCCACGGGGGGACAACTCTCTCGCGCGCCTCCGCCTCCGACCCACCGGCCCCGGGCTCCGCTTCCCCCGCCTCGGCCCCGGCGTCCCCGAAGCCGTTGGTGTCGAGGATCAGCTCCCGGAGCCCGCGGTGCCCGGCGAGGGCGGCGGCCAGCGCCTGCCCAGCGACCCAGCGGGCGGCCCGGAGGCCCAGGGCCTTTGGCCCCGGTGCCACAGGCTCCGGCGCACTCCGCCCGACACTGCGCCCCAATTCCCCAGTGCAGGGAGCCTCCGAAAGCTTCGAAGCTCCACTTGGGACAAAAATGCCTCAAGAGCTTGAGAGCTGAAACACCACCTTCAAAATTGGACAGAAGCCTGTCAGCACCGTGCCCGGTAAGTTGTCTACTGGCTGAAAACCTCTCCGGCAGTGCGGGAAAAGAGAAAAAGCCAGTCTCAATCAAACAGGCACATGAGGCTGACAAAGGAACGTCACGATTTCAAGAACATTGGAAGAAGTGACGGCTTGCAAAGCAACTCTATTCGGGCATCTTTCAAGTGAAGAAAGGCGAGCAAGCTTTTGTTCCTGCAATGGCAGAAATACAGGCAGGGGAGAGGGATTTCAGGCAATGAGGGGCAGGATCCACCACTCAAGGAACATGTTGCTTGGAGCTGTGGCTTGTGGCCTCAAAAGCTTGCAATTTTTGCCATGGTCACGGAATGATGCTCAGGGGCGACTGGGGCAAAAACCATATCTTGGGGAGCTCATGCGCTTAAAACATCATCGGAAGAACATGTGAATTCCTGTCCCTGTTCATCTCAAGGCTTTGGAGCACCCTGGCGCCAGCCTTTTGGACCAACTCTGGAGCCAGCGCAAAACAAGCAATTCTTTGAAGACTCTGCTCATGATATGGCTGAATCCAGTAAGCTATGGCGGGAGTAATCTGACACTGGCCATTATGGAAGGGATCACAAAAAGAAATATATATATATATATATATCTTCCAACTCAGCCGCCGAAACGCCTGTCATCCATGACCTAAACCTCCAGCCACTTCCTGTCAAAAGCAGGCGGGGATGTTCCACTTCCCCACGCCCTGTTGCAGGGAGAGTCTGAAAGCTTTGAAGCTCTGCTTGGGGAGCTTTGAGCAAAAGCTCAATCACCACCTTCGCAAATTTGCACACAAGCAATGCAGCATTGTGCCTGGCAAGCGCGATTTGCTAACTGTGTGAATACTTGCTGCATTTGCACCCTCTCCGGGAGCGTGGAAAACATATGGGGCATGTGACAGCTGCCTCAAAGCAAACAGAATGCAATTAATGAGCAGCTTACAAAGTTCACCACATAACGCGAGCAAACAAAACCCTTCCATGTATCCTCAAAGTGGGCTCCTTCGACTGACTGGCTGTGTGTAGGTGTCCGCTCCCGTGCTCAAGCTGTGGGCTCAGCTGTGGGTTCCATTCCCCAAACTCACACCTCTTGCAGGGAACAACTCTGAAAAAAGGCTCTGCTGAGACACACATCAGCTCAATCTGGAGCTTGGGTCCGGCACACCCTTCTTCTTAGGACCTGTCCCGCTACCTGAAGCCGAGCCAATCCGAGCCACACACCACCACCACCCACAGAGAAAGGGAGAGAGCAACAAACAAACAACACAAACATGTCATCGTGGGGTGAACAAGTGATCGGAAGCAAACCTGTTCTACGAAACGGCAGGCAATCCCACATTTAGCTCATACTGTGGCAACAACATTCCCAACGGCGGCCAACGCCAGATTGCAAAGACAACACAGCCCGCTAACCCGCCTACGCAAACAGGACAACCGTGTATATGTGTGCGTGACAAACATGGCACACCTATCTTCAACTCGCAAGCCACACAACGCATTTCCTCTGCCACCCCGGGAGTGGAAGCTGCTAATGTCAAAACGACTCCGAGGCCATCAGGATCGACAATTGATGTTCGCGCCAGATCCCACCCCGAAACTCCCAACCACAGGTCTAGAAATCCTGCATCCAAAGCCCACACAAAACGGACTTGGAGGTGGGGAGCTGAAGGGCGCCCCTGTGAAGTGGAGAAGCCGTGCTCTCAACCGTGGAGGCCTGGCAGCCGGCATCGCCAATCTGATTCTGAAAAAGCCGCAGCAGCTCCAGGGCAGTGGTGCCCTCCAGGCCGCGGGCCAGGGCCTGCGGGGACGGTGCTCGCAGGCCCTTGAAGGTGGGGATTGAGGCCTTTGTCCGAACAAAGTTTCGAGACTGACTAGATGTAGGACTTGATACCAGCCCTGCTGCGGTTCTTTTCATCTCAGCTGGATGTTTGAACGAGCAATCAGCGTTTGCTTTCAAGAAGCCTGCGCTGGACATCGCTACGTAAACCGTACAGAATCCATGATTGACATCGCCCTTTCCAGATGCAAGTGACAAGGCACATCCACAACTGGCAAACCATTCTTCTGTGCCAAAAGCAGAGCTCACCGACCCCCGCCCGGCGCGGCAAAACTACCAAATCAATGATCTTCTTGCAACGGAACCGATTGACATGTTGAAATCTCGCGGGTGTCATGAATAGTCAATTTATCTTCACTCCTGATTTGGGAGTTTTATCTTACCCCCTCGCCCCCTCAAACTTCCCCCTTCCCGCCTGGGCGCCCTTGACCCCGATCTGGTTTTGGACGAGCTTCAGCGTCTGCAGCCGCGGCATCTGCTGCAGCGCCACGCCCAGGGCCTGGCCCGGCCCCAGCCCCCGCCTCCACTCCCCGGCCTCCGCCGAGCCCTTCCCCCAGACCCCGGTGCAGGGAGCATCCGAAAGGTTTGAAGCTCCACTGTGGACTCGGGAAAGCTACGAGAGCTTTGAGCAAAAGCTCAAACACCAACTTGCAATTGCACATCATGCCTGGCAAATGTCTGCTTGCTATGCCACTGGATTTGCAACCCCTCAGGCAGCGTGCGAAAAGAGTGAAGCCAAAAGACATGGGGCATGCTTCAGCCTCAATCAAACATGAACCTGGCAAGGAATAAAGGTAGTGTGGTGCTTCCAAACCGCAAACGAGGGCCGTCTATGAACTCTCCAAACCCGAGCACCATGTGAACAACAGTTGCGTCAGCAAGGCACGGCTAGTGAAAAAGAGGAGAGGGGCCATGCAAATCCATTCATGCATTCTTTAAGCGAAGCAGGACGTCGCACCAACTGAAATTCGCAGGACGTCGCAAAATTCCTTTTGAAGGCCCAGAAACGCCTGCCTTTGGTTGAAAGCAAAGAAGTCACTTTGTGTTCACGTCAGAAGTGTTCCAGGAGAAGGCAATTTATTGGGACTAACCTCAAAGCCAAGGGCTCCTGCATACCTCTTGCAGGTGTTTCGCTACCTCAACTCGACCCACAACCAAGAGAACAAACAAAGCAAGACCCACGCCATCACCATAAATAGCAACACAGGCTTGGCAGACGCAATTGCAAGCAAGCTGAGAAACGAAACATATGACCATCCCCACAGCTGGCTCTTCTGTCAAGCCTATTCATTGCCGTCAAAGCTTGCCAAAATCATGTGGCGACAAAGATCGCGAAACTCCAGACGGCCAAAAAAACAACGCTGCCACCCGGAGCCAACACCCAGAGCCACGGGGGGCAACTCTCGCACGCGCCCCCGCCCCCATCCCCCGGCCTCGGCCCCGGGCTCCGACTCCCCCGCCTCGGCCCCGGCGTCCCCGAAGCCGTTGGCGCTGAGGTCCAGGTCCCGGAGCCCGCGGTGCCCGGTGAGGGCGGCGGCCAGCGCCTGCCCAGCGACCCAGCGGGCGGCCCGGTGACGGCCCAGGGCCTTTGGCCCCGGTGCCACGGACTTCGGACGGGCGGTGCACTCCGCCCAAGTCCCCGCAGGGAGCATCCGCAAGCTTTGAAGCAAAAGCTCCAGCCCGAGCTTGGAGTAAAAGCTCTCACACCGCCTTCCAAAATCTCACAAAGGCATGGCAGCATAACTTTGGTAGTAGCTGAAAGGCATAGGACATGTGAGAGCTGCTACTGGCAAAGGAAATTAATGGGAAGCTCTGCACAAAGGGGGCCATCTAAGCTCTCCTCAGTCACCATATGCAAGTAGTGACTGCTGGGAAGCCCAACTAATAACAAATTGTACTTGCAAAGCAGCTTCAGGTCTTTCCTCAACGGCTCAGTAGCATGGCTACGAAACACGTTCACTTTCCTGCTTCCTTCCAATGCAAAGGCTGTGGAAATAGGGCCACGTGAGCTGTGCCTTGCGGCCTTGAACACTTGAAACACACTCCTGAATTTGACATGAGAATCCAGCGCCATGTTCACAGACTCGTGGGACTTATTCGGAAGCTTGCACGATACCCCATGTGCTTGAGCCCCTCACTCAAACGCTGTTTCAAACTCCGATGCAGCAACATCTCAAGCAGGCATGCTTTTGTGGATGCGAGATTGCCAAAAGAGACCACTCCGCCGCAAACAAAAAATTATCTGTTTCCTCCCGCCTTCCTCCCCGCAATTTTGTGCAAATGCTTCAACATGTATCCCACCTGTGAGATCCCATGAACAAATTGGAAAACAAACAGCGCGCCAACCATCCCCAGGCGCACCCTTAGACTTGGCAAAAATGGGCGAATCCAACAAATTACGCAGGACAGAATTGAACGCTCAGCAGTCTGGACTGGAAGGGCATCATGTACTAGGTTCCAAACAGAACAACAGCTTCTTCCAATGAGGTCCGGGAAGCCTGTTATCGATGACCTAAACGGGCAGCGTCACCCAACCCCCTCCCTTTCAAAGCGCATCATAGTTAATTCGCAAAAAAAAAACAACGCAAGGGTCAGCCTGATGCTTTGGGTTGGACACAAACTTGCTGCATGACTGGGGTCCGTCAGCCACTTCCTGCTCCAACTCCTCCAACCTGCGAAGAACACCTTATGTTGGGGGGGGGGGGGGCAAATCTGATTCCCCTCTCAGATACGGGGGGGCAATTCTAATTCCCCTCTTAGATACTTCAGATCGAGAATGATTGAGTGCACGACAGCAATGTTCCAGGTTAAGGAGCAGTGTTCCAGGTTGAGGCAGGTTAGTCGACGACAAGCAAACTCCTATCCCCTTCTCTTCAGACTAACATGCTACCTCAAACCGACCCACACACGCAACAACGCAAGACGCAAGACCTATCACCACCATAAATACCAGCACTTGGCGGACCTGATTGGAAGCAACATAGGGGCCGAGAAAAATTTAGTTATGACAATCCCCACCTTTGGCTCTTCTGTGAATTCATTGCGATCAAAGCTCATCAGAATGCTGTGGCAACAAAGGTCGCTAAACTCCAGATTGCAAAAAACCAACAACACTGGCACAGTAAGCCCACTTGCAGACACATGACAACTCTGTGTATGTGTGTGTGACAACCATGGCAAATCAATACGGCACACCTGGAATTCGAACCCTAAGATGTGCATCATCATCTGCGACCCGTCAATGGACAGCGCTAGCGATACAAAAGTGCATAGAATTCCGCGCCGTCTCCCCGCCTAGCGACAAAACGATTGGTGCAAATCAACTCTTGACATTGAAAGCCAAGTGAACAATGCAAAACTTGGTGTTTTCCCACACACCAACACACACACACAAAGCAACAAACAAACAAACAAACCAAGCAAACAAACAAGCAAACAAACAGACAAACTATCAAATAAACAATCAAGCAAACAAACAGACCCGTCATCAACCCTTCCCTCGCTCTCAGATTGAACCTTCGCGCGTAGTGGCACAGTCTTGGGGGTTGAACAGTTGATCGCAAGCAAACATGTGCTTTGAACCGGCCACATCTAATTCTTCTGTGGACCAATTGTTTGCCATCAAAGCTTGCAAACACGGCAACAGGATTCTCTACGCTCCCCACCTACGGAAACAAAACAACTGATGCAACAAACATGGCAATTCCTCTGGCAAACCTGGCGCAGCATCTGCAACTCGCAAATCACAAATGCGCTTCCTCTACCGTCCGAAACTGAGAACGGCCCAAACAACACCATAGCCACTAGTACGCTTGGTGCTTGCGCCAGCTCCCACTCCAGCAAAACTCCCAGCCACACATCTAGAAATTCGGCATCTAAAGCCAACTGAAGCAAAATAGGCTGATTGGGGGGAGCGGAACGGTGGCCCTGGCAGCGAGAGAGGGTTCAAATGGCTCAGCGGCGCTGTGGAGGCCTCGCAGCCGGCATCGCCAATCTGGTTTTGCGAAAGCCACAGCAGCTGCAGGGCAGTGGTGCCCTCCAGGCCGCGGGCCAGTGCCTGCGGGGACGGTGCTCGGCGTAGGCCTTGAGGCTGTGCCATTTTTTGCCATGCGGCTTTTGGCGGCTTTTAGCGGCTTTTCGCATCCTTCGGGCTTTTTGGATTTGGCTTCCCGCATCATCAGCATCACCACCATCCTGTTTGAATCATCACTTCTTCGGACGTCATGGGGGGGGAACCCCAGATTTCTTGCGGAGATTGAATTGCACCCCTGTTTGAATCATCACTTTTTAGAGCGTCCAATTTCGCGAGAAAATGCTGCAAAATACGACATTCTAAGTAATCTGTGAAATCCATGTATGTCTGTAGGTATGCATTTCTTCGAACATCATAAGGGAAGCCACCCCCGCCAACCCTCCCGCTGCCTTTTAAATTCTATCACACCCTTTCTTGAATAATTGCACCCCTACTTGAATCATCACTTCTTCCGGCATCATGGGGGGGCTGCCGCCCCCAACCCCCCCGCTACGTTTTAGATTTTCCACAGAGATTTAATTAATTGCACCCCTAGTTGAATCATCAATTCTTCGAACATCATGGGGGGGGGCTGCCGCCCCACCCCCCCCCCAACCCCCCCGCTACTTTTTAGTGTTTTTTACAGGGATTGAAAAGCCCTCCTACTTGAACCATCATTTCTTTGACCCCATCACACGATTTATTGGTGATGCTAGAGATGTTGGTCGGACATGCGGGGGATGTTGAAAACGATGCTGGGGATGTTGACGGGCTATTGTAAAATGCGTCAATTTCGCGAGAAAATGCTGTAAAATCCGACATTTTACTGGCCCGGCAGAGATTGAATTGCACCCCTGTTTATATCATCATTTTTTAGAGCGTCCAATTTAAGGGAAGCCACCCCCGCCAACCCTCCCGCTGCCTTTTAAATTCTATCACACCCTTTCTTGAATAATTGCACCCCTACTTGAATCATCACTTCTTCCGGCATCATGGGGGGGCTGCCGCCCCCCCCAACCCCCCCGCTACGTTTTAGATTTTCAACAGAGATTTAATTGCACCCCTATTCAAATCATCACTTCTGCAAACAACATCATGGGAGGGGCTGCCGCCCCCCCAACTTTCCCGCTCCGTTTTTTAATAGTTGTTTTTAATGTTTATTGTTTGCTGGGATTGAAATGCCCTCCTGTTTGAAGCATTATTTTTTTGACCCCGTCAACCCGCCAGCTACTTTTTCGACTTTGTTACCCACGATTTGTTGGTGATGCTAGGGAAGTTGGTCGGACATGCGGGGGATGTTGAAAACGATGCTGGGGATGTTGACGGGCTAGTGTAAAATGCGTCAATTTCGCGAGAAAATGCTGTAAAATACGACATTTTACTGGCCCGGACGAAAAACGAAAAAAAGAAAAAGAAAAAAACACACGAAAAAATCCAAACTTAAATCCGCACCCATTTGCAACCCCTCAGGCAGCGTGCGAAAAGAG